TTTTGGGATGGCCCCCCCTCGAAAGCCATTTTTTTTCGCATGGCCCCCCCCCAAATCCCACCAGCCCCCCCTACCTTATAAAAAATGAACGGTCCCTAGTGACGAAGTTTTGGACTGAAATTTACAGTCTTTCCACCGGCAACTTTCCTCGTTTCTAGTGGTAACAATATCTCCTCTGATCGTCGCCTGCAATTTCGTGCGCTTTGCTGCCAATGACGTCAAAGGCCGACAAGTTGCCACTAGAAACAGAGCCAGTTGCCCATGACAGCAACACAAGTTGAACGTTAAACCTGGTCACCAAACTTTCGTCACACCTTACTCAACTGATAATTGTAGGAAGCCCCCCCCCCCCCACTTTTAAGCCCCCCGGATTATAGACTCATCTACCTGTAACCAAAAAATGCAACTGTTATAAGCCCCCTGGATATACATTGTAAGCCCCCTTCGCACTTTCCTTGTTATGAATTTGTTTTATTAAGATGTTTTAAAACTTAATAATATTACCAGTAAATGGAAAACCTATTTCAATCAACATGTGCAGCTATAGCTAGTTTCAAAATGGTTTTTTATTCTGGTTGTAATAAGCCCCCTCAGATATAAGCCCCTCCATTTATAAGCCCATTTAAAAGCCCTGATGAAGTTGTATATATGCCCAGGGCTTATAAGTGGTAGTTCATAATAGTAATAATAACACATCACATCCCTACATTTTATATTATATAATAACCAAATCAATGCGCACACTCTGATTGGTCAATCAGCTATGGTTTATTGTGCCAGTAAACTCATGGAGATTTTGCATGCCCTCTGAATTATTATATAAAAGCAATAGACCACAAGTTTCTATGGTTTATAGGCTGATAAACCACTTGGGGTGTTGGAAGAACACTCGAAAAATTCATAAATCACGAGCTGCAGGCGTCTGATTTATGAATTATTCTTGCATTCTTCCAACATCCTGCATGGTTTACCAGCCTATAAACCATAAAATCCTGTGGTCTATTTCTTAACTACGTGATAATGATATTGATAATGATAATAATAATACAATAATACTAATAATAATAATTAAGAATTAAGAATTAGTAATAAATAACAATATTTAGAGAGGGTGGGACCAAAAGAGTAAACGCTTAATTAATTAGGGTGGCCATCATTTTACTATTTAAAAATTCATCAAATGTTTAAGATTTCAAGTACCGTAAATCCTCCAATAAGCGCCCCCTCGAATAAGCACCTCCTTCAAATAAGCGCCCCTCCTATTGGCCTAAATTTAAAAAAAGTGCCCCCGCAATTAAGCGCCCCCCTCCCCTACCCCCCATTTTGTGAACGAGTAATGAGACAAAGAATGTATGGTTTCCATTGTGTAGTATTAGATTTGTGCATTGTTTCAGTTTGTGAACATGTTAAGTTTGGAAAAAAATTACAAGTACTAAAGGTGTCGCGATTTAAAGTTTAGGATCAGCTTTTTGTATCAATAAACAGCTTATGTTGTCGTTTATGCGCACATGATGTATTAAAAAAATGATCATGTCGGGCCATGATTTGGGAAAAATGAAATAAGCACCCCCCCCCCCCCTCGATTAAGCGCCCAGGCACTAATTCGAGGATTTACGGTATACTTATTTATGAAGACAAAAAAAATATTAAGGAAGAATAATTTTTCAAACTTAAAAAAATAGCTCCTGACATCTAGAGGCAATGAGTTCCAAACATGTGGAGTACTCCTCTGTATTGGAACGATCTTTGTCCTTTCTTGGAGCATAGTGTGGTCAATCTGGTGTTCATATGATGTTTGTCTTTAACATATTCAAACCTGTTTTGCAGACAATCACAACTGGATATTTTAATCATTTTGTACATGAATATACTGTAGAAGTGAAGTATTCAATGCATTGGTTTACATGTATAGTCATCCACTGTACAGCAGTGGTGATAAGACTTCCTGAGGTTGCTTGTTATTAAGAATTACTCCGGCCCTGTATTCCTGTTTTGTTTCTGCGGCTTTTAGTTAAGGATCTATTTATAGGCTTAGTTTACAACAATATACACAGAGTATTGAAATATAAATATGATGTACCTGTTAGTGTCCAGTCTCATTTTAAAATTTAGTTCAGTTTTGAAATTCATTGTTAATTAGAATAAAATTAGTCTGACCTCTAATACTTAGAAATATCAAATGCCTCTTTTCAGGACAGCACCTAAAGCAGAGGATAAATGTTTTTGTAAGTATTACAAAGATTGTTTGAGCTTTTTACATGAAGCTCTCTTATTTAGTAATGAATGCATTTGCACTAAGGATCTACCAATTACTAGTGATATTTTGGAAATTCTCTCAAAATTGCAATTTGAAATAATTTTCAAATATAATAAGTACATGTAATTGTTTACACTTCTGTACAACTAATTTGTTATATGACTGAGAAAATTTTGAAATGTAAATGATCCCGCTGATGGTATTTTTTATTTTGTACTATTTGAAATAGGGTGAGTGCAATAGGTCAATTCCGATATATTAAAAGTCTAACTTGGCTCCGAGGATTAGGGGAATAAAACAAAAGAAATTGCATCGAGGATGAGGGATGAATAATTAATTTCTTTTGTTTTACTCCCCTAAGCCTCGGAGCCAAGTTAGAATTTTAATATATCGGAATTGGCCTATTTTATATAATTTTCAAATATCAATAGTAATTATTGTTTAAGCTTTCATTATTCATACAATTATATGTCTGAGAAAATTACAAATATCATTGTGCAAAACATTACAAAGTGAAATATTACAAAGAGTCTTGCACGATTTATCATTCGCTCAGAGCGATATATTTTGCTGAGCAAGATAGTGATATGCCGTTTTCCCTCAGAGACATATCACAACATATCACTAAGTGACAATTCTGATCACCCAGATATCGTTGTTGTGAAGTGATATATCCACCTAACAAAATATTGTGCCACTCAGCAAATTTCTTGCAAAGCCTAATGCAAAGAACACACTTGGGTCTGATTCTGGTAGTGCCTTTGTTATAATATGTACCGGTACATGTTTGAAGAATATAAATGAAGCTAATTATACTCTTATTGTTATTCTTGTACTTAAAAGAACTGAAATAATGATGCATAATTGGGCATATTTCTTAGAAGAAGCTACTTTTTCATCGTTATCAATAAGAACCTCAATAAAAGTCCTTCATAACTTTAGTTTAGGGCAACTGCGTCAGCCGCAACGGTCATAAATAGAATATCGAATTTTTGGCCAGGTCATAAATAGGGTAGCAAAAATTGCAGATTTTGGTCATAAATAAGGCATGGGTTTGCACACCCCCACCCAATTTTGCTGGGAGTACCCGCCCCCCAGGGTTTCCATGAAAACAGTCCATATGGCAAAATTCCAGCCANCCCCCCCCCCACGGAATAAATGCCACTGATATCAGTCAACAGTGTTTTTAATTAAGAACTTTAACTCTAACTTTCACTACTTGTCTTGCAGCAACATTTGATTTAAGGGATATTGACTATAAGTCATTGAAATATCAAGGAGGGGAAGGGCGGATAGCATTCTACCCAGAAACTAAAACAGGTAAGGTAACAATGAACTAGACATGATTTTGTAAGTAACAAACTCACCAATTCTGTCCATGTATATTTGTATGAAGTGTACAGTAAACAAGCCATGTGTTAAATGTGAACCATAAATTAAAGTTCTGTGAAGCCCTCTCTCTTAAGCTCTCCTCTTTAATACAAACCCCCCCCCCCCCCCCCCCCCCCCCCCCCCCCCCCCCCCCCCCCCCCCCCCCCCCCCCCCCCCCCCNAGAAATGACAGAAGGAAGAAAAACCGGCAGTGCAAGTAAAACAAACCCCCCCCCCCCCCGCCACCATCTAGAACTTAAGTATGTTAATAATTACCCTTCCCCTTTTCATTATTTTATTCCCCGTCCCCTTCTCACAAGGATGCATAAGCCAACACAACATCAATAGTGCGGTAACATTTACTTTATGACTTGTATGTTTTCAGTGTCGTTCCTACACGTTGCTCTCACTTTACTATCACAGTGGCTTATCTCTCCACCTGGGTGTATAAATTGGTTCCAGCAAATTCAATACTGGGGGGTAACCCTGGGATTAACTAGCATCCCATCTAGGGGGGAGTAGATGAAATATTTCTAGTCGCTTCATGCTACAAACTAAGAAACCGGTGACAAGCGCTGGCCTGATGGACCACTTCAAGGCCTGTATGCAGGCTTTATCTTGCACAGGTGGGAGTTGAGTATGGCATATGTCAAGCCCAAGAAATAAGAAATAAATATTTCGTGCAGCTGTGTTTAATTTGTTTTTACCATTTTATTTCCACAGCAATGGAGCTTATGGCAAGACTAAAGAACATTACTGATTTGAAACCAGTCAGCCAAAGTGTTACAACTGGTAAAAAATGGTCATCTGGTGCGGACATGGCAATGGAGGTCTCTGAAAATCGAGACAAGTACATGGGAGGTTAGTTGTTGAAACAGTAGCAATGATTTGTAGCGATTTTGTTACATTACTTCCCTGCTTGGTAATGTCTGTTATGTTAGTGATCTTGATAGATTAGAATGATCACTACATCAGTCATTAAATGAGCTTTTAAGTCATTTTGTTCTTTCTTACTACTTTTTTTGTTCACTTGCAATCCCATAGATATAATTAAGTTCCTCCACTTTTATAAGCCGACCCTTAACCTCTCACAAAGTTGTCTAAGCCCATTAACTTAAAACATCCATGTATGATAAAAAAATACTTACCTACTTCATATTTTTAAAACTATTCTTTGGCCTGCCCCCTTGAAACCTTGTTCTTTATTTACTTCAAATTAAGGATATCGTAACAATGCACACCTTGTGTGATGTTGATTTACTTTTAAAGCATTGGTTTATTGTAGTGCATTTTCTTTCTATATTTAGCCATTGAATTTTACATTGATGAAAAGAATAAAATTCCCAAGAAAGTTCGATATGCCATTCGCCTTGAGGGCTATTGGTCAACGGACTCAACTTATCCAGCTTTCACGTCTGATGGACCTGTGACATAGTAAGCATGGTTTTCTTGCTGTTATTACTTGCAATTGCATGGTCATATGTCTTTAAGAACTGCTACCCTACCCCCTAAAATGGCATATACATGTACATACAGTCCAACCTCTCCACAACAGCCACCTTGGGGATGGAGAAAAGTGTGGCAGTTAGAAAAAGGTTATTTTGCCAGCTGGGATTCACTTTTTAGTGAAGAGTGCACTATTGGGATGGTGTTTGGGGGCTGCCTGCCATCAAGGCGCTATGTCGCTGTGGCACTAAGGTGTAAACTTTAATGTTTGTTTAATTAATTAATTTCAATTAATTAATTAGTCTAGAGGCAAGGAAGTGGTGGGGGTAGGGTAGGAAAGGCACATGTGTACTCTAGGTAAAACATGTTCTATCTACACCAGTTGGGTGTGAACATCGCAAAGCTATATAATATATTTGTTTCAGGTAACCCCTTGCTCTCCTTGTGGTACTATTCTCTTTAGAACAAAACCAATTTGCTCTAAGCGCATGCGTAGATTACTTAACATTCATGTCTTCTATATATTAGGTGAATGATACATTGCATACAGGTTAACACACAAATGTTGAGTGGTTTTCCTTATGAAAGAACCCAACATGTAAGACGCATGTGTTCTGGCATCATGAGTGTTATACACTATGTTTCCACGCGGGTTTTATTTGTGAAGTTATGTGACTGCGGATGGCAGTTATTTTTCAGGTAGTGTCACTTGTCCCTTTTTAGTGCTAAAGTAAAATGCTACTGTGGCTGTATACATCCTGATGAACATGTACACAACTGATAATCAAGTATAAGTCAGTGTGATGGGAGATTGCTTTACAGAATTGTTTTAATGTGCAAGACAAAGGTTGTGTGATACTTAATGATCATGTCTTTGATTAACTCGTTTGTGAACCACATGCTGAGAGACCTGAATGGGATTGTGTGCACTTTTGTGTGTGGTAAATAATAATAATAATAATAATAATAATAATAATAATAATAATAATAATAATAATAATTATGTTAATAAGAAGAAGAAGAAGAAGAATTTTTAAGAAATTAAAAGCATATATTATAACAATTCTTTATTGAGCGCATTCAAATTCTTCACTAAAACTTTATATGATAATTATTTACAGTGCAAGACTATTAAAAAGTCATTAAAAAAGGAAGCAAAATGCAGTTTCCAGAAATGAATGAAATTGCATAAGAGATGAAAATTGGAATGACTTGTTTAAAATGTCACAGAAATGTAACAAAAGTATTTTTGGTTTGTGTCATCGATTGTACATGCATAATAAAAAAAAGCAAAAGAAAATTACTCTCTACTATAAACATTCTACTAATTATGGAATCTTACTTGTCTTTGCTTTTATGCTGTTACTACTACTAATGATAATAACAATACTAACAATAATGATAATAATAACGATTGAATAATTATTACAAATTAAATGCTTAATTAGATGTACAGTAAGGAACAGTACAATTTTATAATATTGCTTTGTTTTACAGCATAATTTGAATGAATATTTTGTGAAAATCTTTGCAGCAATCAATATAGAGATGGAAACTTCATGAAATTACAGTATGCGATGGATATGGCTATCATACAATTGCAAACCCAAAGAAACGCTTCACATCTTATTCCAGTGGAAACGCATGTAAGTAAAAAAAACAATTAGCGGTACCTCTCACACTTGCCTGTCATAAACTAAGGATTTAGCCCAGCTGAGGGGTTTCGGCCGGTCAAAATCCCGGCAAGTTCACCTACCTGACCTGAAAAAAAATCCTAATGGAATTTTTTTTTTGATAATGATGATTTGGTAGTGTCAATCTTTAAACCTTTCAGAATTCCATATTAAGGCCTTACCAATAAAACTGGAAAGTGACCCTTCCGGAAACATTCAGTCCTTGCAAGTCAATACTCAGTGTTCAAAGTAACTTGTAATTTTTGTGATAGCACATTGGCCTGATGGTAAGAGTGCTGGAATCCAAGTTGGGTGTCAGCAGGCTGGTAATTGTTATGTTCTTGGGCAAGACACTTCGCTCTCGCAATGCCTTTTTCCACCCAGGAGTACAAATTGGTACTGGCAATTTGTTGGGGCAATCTCACTGATTGCTGGGGGGCAACCCATGATGGACTAGCATCACATCCAGGGTGGGGCAGGGGCTAGAAATACTCCTAGTCACTTCATGCTACGCTAACCAGAGTTCAGCATCAGCAGCTATGAGCAAGTTAGGCTTTAAGAGGTTTCATTGAGCTAATGAGCCCAGTGAGCCCATTTTTGTTTCAGTCAACATGCTCACTTAATAGGTGTGCTTGACTCCTGGGCTGGATATCCCTCCATTAGGAGCCCAAAGAGATTTGTGCAGTGGTTCATATATTCATCTCTATTTTTTTTCTTTCTTGTAGCAATTTCCTTTCCCATCTTATAAAACAAATTTGGCCATGGATATGATTTCTCTTATGATGCCACTCTTAGTCATGTTAGGCTTCATGTATTCAGCTATGACGATTATCAAGGTATGTTAAGAGTTTAGTTTTACCATCTATTTTAAATTCCAGTGGAATACGTAATTATAATAACTGTCAGAGGAGAACTTATGTTACAATATATGTGTGAAGTATATATGAAATAGTTCATATTTGAACTGCGGTAGTAGATGAAAGTGAAGTGTGATCATCGCAGTAAATTTTCCAATTTAAGCAACTGGAAAGAAGAAGCCTGAAAAAAATCA